GTGGTTTTGTTGTTGATGTGGTAGGTGTACGCTCCTCTAGTGCTATTCTCTTGGTTTCTTGAGTTGGTGTTGTAGGGGTTGGTTGAGACGGCTTGCATTTTGGTTTTCGACCGCGCTTTTTCAAGGCCGGTTTAATGGAAGTGCCGTCCTGGGAGGCATAGTCCGATTCGGACTTCTGCGAACTCCCAGGATTCATCCTTATTTTGCTGTAACCCTGTAGTTTAAGTTAAATCGACGACGAAGTGTCGACGAATTCTCGAAATTCTTTTACAGACTAACATTCACATTAACAGAAAAAATTGTTTTGTTTTCGGTTCACTGTATACACGTCTTATCGGTACGAAGGTTTCGACGCGACCCTTTATTCCCATTTAATCAACTTTTATTTATTAGGCATTTACGGTTTCTGATATCCCCATTCTGTCCCTTCTTATATTGGACACAAATAATACACAAGCATAAAACAAGTCAATCAAAAGCGATTCTGAGTTGTGGAATCAATAGAAATTGTGGAAATACTCCCGAAGTGAGTGGATTTGTGTGCTCTTGAAAGAACGCTCTTCACTTGAGAAAATATATTTTCTGGTTGTGTTAAAACAGCGAAAAAATGTGCAAGATTAAAAACTCGCTCCAATGGTTCTTGAAATGTAAAAAAATGGCAAATACAAATTTATCTTCTCCGGTTGAGCTCTATTTCCTGTTGAGAAGAAAAAGTAATCTTAAAAATCGCCCTGTTTTGACTAAATAGATTTTATGCAAAATTAAGATTCTTAATATTATTTGTTTATAATTCAAAATAACGTACATAAAACTAATTTCGTTAATTCCTTTAGGCCCCAACCCTGCAAACAACTCGTAACTGATGAACAAATGGCTGAACACATGTCAAAGCTGCACATTAATTCACAAACTCAATTATTACCAATTGAGCCTGACTCGGTGAAGAATAAACGTCTGTATATGTGTGAAGAAATGCGCAAGCTGCAAGATCCAATTATGACTCTTCTTCCACCTGGCCTTCTTAAACACCAACCATGTACAGCACTGGTTCTTTGGCAGCCACCTCAAAGTAGGATAATACCTAGCCTTAGTAAGTATTCCTTATCCACTTTACGACATCCCAAGAGACGTCGGGAGAGACGTTTCAAATTCCAACAACTTCTTTAATTTAGAAGTTTATAGTTAAACAATTTTTCAATATTTAAACACATTTGATATACTTACCTGCAGTTCTGAGAAGACTAGTCAGATGAACATTCAACAAATTTCTAAGCATGTACGCATCAATATCCGTTAAATTCAAATTTATCCCTTACAAAGGCTATTCGCAAATTTTAATTTAGATTACGAATCGGATTAGAACATACACGTATTTTTATTTTTGCATTATTGAGACTTTCAGAATGGTATAAGTTTCAGGCCTAAAGCCCCTACTTAATATGCGTAATCGTCAGACCAAATCGAGTAAAAACTTTGAATAAACTTTTTGCCTGAAGTGATCCGTTTTCATAATACAGAAGAATAGATTCTTACAATTCTTACATTTCCAATTATACACTATATATATATATAGTGTATAATTGGAAATGTTCCAATCAGAGCTATAACGAGTTTATGATGTAAACAAATGTAGATTTCGAGATGTGCCAATCTCAAGCGCTTCCAGAATCGGTTTCAAATAGCAATCCCGAAACCTGTACCTTTTCGGAGGTTTGAAGACGGGTACTGAAGTGTAATTGGTAAATGAAAGTGCGCACCTTCGTGCTGGTACCGCATGCATGTTGTATGTTGATTTTTTAACATATTTCTAGATGAACAAATTTGATTTAACAATAATGCAAGACTGACTGAAGTCTGAACAATCAGCATGTTATCAATATTTTCACACTAAACTTTCTCTCAAAATCCGCGTTAAAGATTTGACTGTGTAGTTTTATAAGGATTCTCAAAATACCATGAATCGCTTTTCTTTCTATTCGCTAATCCATTTCTTGCAAACGCTGCATTATTCGTGAAGAAATTTCTTAAAGAAAGAATAATTTCTAAAAGAAAAAGTCTAAGTGTTCAGGATTCTCCATATTCGCATTCGAGGTACATTAACATGTGTATATCGTATATCGCGTTTATATTCATTTATTTCATATACATTTCTGGAAGTATGTTCTCTTCATTTCCCGTGCTTGTATTATTGAACGATCAGTCTATGGCTTTTTGAAAGTTTTGTATAGTAGTTGTTAACGCGTTGGAAAACTCGTCGATCTGGTTGAGGAACGTGGAATCACAAATCATCGAAATTGTAACCATTAATCAACTGTATTATGAAAATCGTTCACTTAAAGTCGATAATTTATTAGAAGTTTTTGATTGATTTAGTCTGAAGATTCCTATACTAACTATTTCGTATTTTTTTTTGACTAAATACCACTTTTGTCAAGTTAGCAGATATAAATCACTCACTTTTATTTGTTCTCATAAAAAATAAAACCAATCTGCAAAAATACATGCTTCATTGCATTCATTTTTTTTCAGATTCATGTTTAAGTACTTCTTTTAAGGATGCAGATAAAGGCAAAATAGAAGCAAATAAAACTAAACCTTCTACAAGTAACTTGTTAGATTATGAGTGTTTGGATAATAAATTTGATGGAAGTATGGAGTTGGATTCTTAATGAACATCTCTAAATTGACTGAAGATCAATGCAATCCGAATGCATTTTGCTCTGCTCTAATCATATCTTTCAATACAGAACATACTTTGACGAATTGGTGTTTGCGAATATCATTATTAGCATTAGCACTAATGTTAAGTGAGATTTCCTTCTGCGTAAACTTGAGCAAAAGCTGCGCATCTGCATTGCTACGAATGGTGCTCAATTGAAAAATGAATCGTGTGTGTATAATTGCTGTATATAACAAAAATGTGTTGCTACATCTTAGGTAACAAGTATTTTGTGATGATAAGTTTATTTTTCTTTGCTCGAATTTAATACGAAAAATTTCCTAAAAGTTAGCAAAATTCCCACTTTCTGTGTCCTTAAGTAATTAAATTCATAAGCCATATTTACAATTTGATTTCCGTTTATTTCAATATGTATATTATATTAAATGTTATAATATTTAATAATTTAAATTAAATATTTAATATTAATAACCGAAGAAAATTGGTATAATTCTGGAAATTTTGTATGGACCTGTTTAAAAGTTTAATGTACAAATCACGATTTTTCACCCAAACTTGCTACTGCTACATCAATTGAGTAATTTTGTTCCTAGTAAATAAGGTTTACAGTTAGGTATACAAAGAAATAAATGTGGTAAAAACATTCGGCTTAATAAATCGAGTTAGTAATGTTACAAACTATCACTTCTCAAATGAACTGAATTTTATTTTTGTATCCCTAATGTATTTTTTAAGATGTAAACAATCAATTAATTAATAGGTAGCAAAGCTTCGATTGGCTTCATGCTTTGTTGCAGCCGGCTTTTGTCTATTCATATATAATATATACATGTCTCCTGTTTTACCAATGTAGCCTTTTTTTACTGCGTTTGATACATTTTGTTTGTGTTCAAATTTGAGCTGCTCTTACATTTATTCATTTACGAATAAATTATTTTGATATTTGGGTGTGTAATTTGTTCCCAATTGATTTCTGCAAATTGCTTAAATATTTACATATTATATCTTACTCCTCCTAGCAAGGATCTCCTACAAATCTCCTACGAAGACAAATCGCCTACAGCATGTAGGAGCGATATGCTGATGACATCGCACTGATCGTGCACGACAAAACATATCTGGGTTTGAAGACCCAAAGAAAGACCGATTGGGTCGAGAACCGATTTCTTAAGGAATAACAATTATTTATCTTCATATGTAACTTTATTTTATTATGTAGCTCAAGCAGAGATAAGTTTTGTAAAAAAAATTTGGATTCTATCAACATTGAATTTTTAAACATCTAAAATTCTGGTGGTTGCAACATTTTGATACCATTTTGCAGATTCTTTCCATGTTCGTGTTTTATCAGGACTCTCGAAATCTACTTGGATGATGCCAAACTTGGACCTGTAAAAAACATTGTTTTTTCTGATTCTCAAAAATGTGTGTCTTAATTTACATAAAAAAAAAATTAAGTATCTATTAAATAGATTGGCAATATTTGGACGTAGCACAACGAGTTCTATCACGAGGAAGAAATTTAAAGTTTTAGAAATCAGTTAAGTGGTTTGGTCAATTTTTCGTTTTTTTTGCACATATGCTGATATGAAGATGTTGCTTGGTAAACTTTACCATTATTTTCAAAAGCGATATCCATTTTCAAGCGTCAATTAGTATTTCAGCGTTTTTCAAAGATGTAGGGCGGCGTATTATGACAATCCATTAATCAATTATTTCAGTAATTTCAGTAAATGTGAATACAATCTCTAGGTTATAACATGTACACTTACTCATAAGATCCCCATTCAAAGTTGTCCATTAAAGACCAGACTGAGTAACCAATAACATTAACTCCATCTTCCACAGCAGCGTCAACTAATGCGCTCATGAAGTCCTAAGAACAAAAACGTTAAATACGATCGATTTAATTACATTTTTGCATCGTACTCTTATCGTATTTATTCTTTCTTGGTCGTCTAATGAATCTCCTTGCCTAATTCCTTTGCCATTTTCAGTTATAATGATTCCTCTGGGTTGATACCTGCAAAGAAAAAAATAATAATTTGTGTTTGTTTGTGTAAAAAATGTTACACCATCGCTCATATGTTTGTTACCCAACATGAAAATAATAATGAATTGATTGCAGCATTTGCAACAATAAATTAAATGCAAATTTAGAATATTTGTATTTGATTGGCAAAGCAAAGTTGTAGAATTTGAAGGTTTAAGCAAAAAAAAAATGATTAGCTTTGTTAAGATTTAACAGGATAAGCTATCGTTTATCAGGATAACTTACTTTTGATTGATATAATTTACAGAGGTTCTAAGGCCTTCGGGGTAATAAAAGTCATTGCTTCTTACGGAACGAACGGCCTCGTCTGATACATAAGACGGTTCACCGATTTCCGGTTCGGGTTCATCTTCAACTTGACCCACTCCATAACTGGAAAATTTGAAGTTCATTTAGAAATATCTGTAGCTGTTCATATACATGATGTTAGTTTTGGTTTTCATGATTCTGAATGGAAATTATTTTTTGTTGATTGTTTTTCCAGTTATATATTAGTAAATATCTTATGTGAAGGATTTTTATTGTCATTGTATCCAAGGTATTTTTCAATTTTTGATTAGAAACAGCTTATTGGATCGACTTCATTAGTCATCAGCATGCAAATTACTTACAATCTTTAAAAAAATACTCTTGGTGGAAACCTCTCATGTTAATAGTTCTAAGAAGAGAGGCTTTTAAAAGGTAAAAAATTATCAATATTCCGTCTCTCGCATTCAAACTCAATACTTTAAATATGCTTCTTTAGATAAAATTGGAAGGTAATTGGAAATATTCACTATAAAAAACGAAAACTAGAAAACAAATACGGCTTGAGGTGACGACTTAATAACACTTCATACCGAAAACCAAGCAAATTTGAATCCTTAATACGGAAAATAAATAATTTTTTGGGTCATAATTTAAAATAATGGCACTACAGCTTTCTGACACTGTGTGTAAGTTGAGAAGAGCTTCTGTGTATAAAGACTTAAAAAATAAATGTTTTGCAGCAAGTTATACTAACGTGTTCAGTGCGAAGAAATCATGGGTTCCGTTAATATAGTTGATTTCTTCTTCAGTAAATTCTGGTAGACGAGACCTCGCGAAACCTTCCAATCTGCTTCTATCAGCAATGCGATCAATCATAATCTGTGGCCAGTTTCCTAGGAATATTGGATTTGCCCACCAGCCGAGCTGAAATATGTTACAGAATTAGTTTCTTTTGCTGCATAATTCCCATCAAAAGATGCAAACGCTATAAAGTAAATCTTATCGATTTGAAGTTATTTGTACTTACTTCAAATTCTATGTATCGTTCTTGAGCTTCTAAATCTGCAGAACTATCAGTAGCTGCCTCGGCCCAGTCAAAGTTGATTACCAGCCCAACATGGCCTATAAGTATTAGACTATTAATATTAATTTAATAAAAATACTGTCAAACAAAGCCAATAAAAACAAATGTATATAGAGGGTGATTCAAAATTGGCGTCATTCCTCTGGAGGTGTTGTTTGGGGGTGTTTTAGGAGTACAGAAAAAATAGTAAAAAAATGTATTGTTATTGAAAACTGGAAAATTTGCAAAAAAACTATATCAGAAGGATGGATCAGTGTTTCAGATGCGCTCCATCTAAATTTCGAAAAATCAGCCGGTTGAAAATGTTATTGAGTGGACATTAGCTGATTTTCTAAAACATTAAGTTTTTTTCAGTGCGTAATCTGTTTCATAAATACAAAAAAGACAGTCTTATAGAACAACTGAAAATTCATAATTCTAGACGAATGAAACTGAAAAACAAAACATAAAAATTGGTACGATTGGAAGATATAACAAATTTACCATACAACAAACAAATAATTACCACAAATAATCACTAAAGACTGAAAATATGTCAGGCAAAGTCAATTCAAGCTCAAAACATTATTAGTTTTTTAAAATCTGAGGCTCCAGCAAGATAAACGGTGAAGAAAATGGCATCCGATAAGGTGAAACTGATGAAATAGGCGAGTAAACTAAAAGCTGGTGGCTTGCAAAGGCTCAAATATGGACAAAACCGAAATTTGAGAGCAGAAAGTGAAGAAGAATGTGAAAGAAGAATTTAATGTAACAATGAAGAAGTTAATCAGTAACCAAAACTAGATGCATGACCACCTCCAGAACACCTCACAGACGCAAACTAGAAATAGATAACCAAAATATGCCACTGGAAATGAAATTCAAGTATTTCGTCATAGAAATTCTCCGGTCCGGATATGTTAAAACGGAGGTGAGGTGAGAAACTATAAATAAAAAAAGAGCAGTCGCTTGTCTCAGCAGCACCATATAGAGCAGTAAACATAGGGATTGAAGATAATGCTAGACTCTACGAAACAAAAATTATTTCCATTACATAAGCTTGACCAGGAAGCACGAAAAATGAGCAAATACTGGAAACATCAGAGATGATTCGTGCGCAAAATAATTGGCAAGACACTTATGGATCTTGAAAGGAGTGAGATCATTATGTTCTATCGATAAGATGGGCTGGATGTTACAGAGCAAAACAAGGAAAATCATTCAATCTGTCTACACATGGAAAGAAACTACTGTGTAACTTTACTTTTTTAATTCGTTACCTAATGTCTTATTTGAAGCGAAATTGGATTAAAAAATAATAAAAACAGTTCCTGGGTTATATATTTTTAACAAGATAATGCAAATTAAACGGACGTGTTTTTTCTAAAGATTTCCAGGCTTTGCGTTCGCGCTTATTTGCAAGTTTTTTATATTTTATGAAGCAATAACTTGCAAACACAGAAAACATGGTTTTTACTTGGAGGTTTAAAGTTTCACTAGAGTATCAGAATCATGCTCATCATTAGAAGATTCCTATTTCTACACTCAAGATTACCTACGCAGTTCTAAAGAAAAATTCGATTTAAGTGAAAATGAAAAAATGTCTCGATTGCCCCACGTGCGATGCTGGGAAAACCTACCATGATACAGAGGTTTGAACTCTTCCTCATATATTCTATAAGCTCTGGCATGCGCTTGTAATAGTACATAACCGCATTGGTAAATACCATCACCAATCAAATGCAATCCTGGAGCCATAAAGCCGGATCCATATCCTCCATTACAGACTAAAGTGGGTTCATTAATTGTGAACCTACAAAAAAATACTTATATACACGGTGTTGCAAAAAAGTACCCTCAAACTGTTGAGAGTGGTAGAAGACATCAAAATATGAATTTCTGCTTTCAAAATATATGTGCGAAAACGAAAGGTTTTCGTAATCACGGTGATGTTATCTCTATTCCGCTCTTGCCTTTGTATGTGTGTGATATGTTCGGATACACCAGCTTTTTATTTCAACTTTGAATTCTCTATTGAATTCTAAGTATGATTCAGGTAACATTTGCGATAATTGAACTGAACATTTACTGATAAATTTTCGTTTGAACCTATCAAATATTAAAGCGACGATTTTATTCAAATTTGTGCAGTTCTGAAAAGGACCGATTTATTTCAAGAAACAGTCCAACAATCAAATTATGTGTTCAAAATTTGTGCTATTTGCGGCTTCACGATATCCTAAGCGATCAATAAACTCTTCTTGTATCTTGCTATTTTTCCTGTAAATTATTTTCTTTACCTCGGAAAGTCCTTGAGTCCTGTTGAGTTTAGGTATTGGACATGGTAGCTGAATCATACTTGGAAGTCAATGGATAATTCAAAATTGAAATACAAAATAGGTGCTTCCATTTGAAAAAGTGAAGTTGATGGTTCTAATACCCTGTATAAAAAATCTTATTTTTGGATAAAAATTGGCGTATCCGAGCCTTTTGCCAAAAAAACCGTAATTTTTTCCCGACTTCATACTGTTTTACTTTGTTCGTGCCGGTGTTGTTCAAGTTTATTCTATCAGTGGCGACGAAACTTGTTACCCGGGACGCTTTATAGTATCTAAAATTATATTTAATTAATATATGAAAACTCTAATACATTTGTACAGTTTGTTACTGAAAGAAAAATACTTTCTATCAAGTACAATTGATCGATTGTTTTCACTCGTTAAGTTAATTTATAGCATAAAAAAATAATAATCGGCAATTTTTATGTACTCTTCGGGTCTTTTCTTAAGTACAGGATCTAACTGCATTTATCAGCGTTTTGGGCGTGTCATTCTTTGCCTGAAAACCTTTGCCTTGATGTTTCTTACCACCCCTAAATTTTATCCATAAATTTATGAAACAACCTCTCTATCAATGAGCGAAATAAAACATCTTTTTAGGATATTAATCACCACACTTAATTTTAGTCTACTTTACTTATTGGAGTAATACATTCTTCCAAAAATTCCTGTTAACAAAACATTAAACTAGTTATAATAGTAAAATCATAAGAAAATTTCGAAAATTGTTTACGCAAAAAAGTTTCTACCGTTGAAACCACTTGAAATTCTTTAAAGTTCAGCTCAATTGAAAGATAAGTGAGAGGAAAATAATATAAGTAAGTGTTTATGCGGAAATGAGCCACTAACAAATTCCATCACTTCAAAACATTGATAATCAATTAAAGTTCAAAAAATCTGTTGTGTTTCAAAGTAATGCAAATTAACAAATAATAATTTTTAAGCACTTAAACAAAGTAGCCACTTACCAATATTTAACATATGGAGCATAATTTTGGTATACTAATCTTGCAAAGTCCCCAAAGTAGTCAACAAATTGAGTGTTGAGGAGACCTCCTAGTTCGTAAATATGTTGTGGCATGTCCCAATGGTAAATTGTTATCATGGGCTCAATACCTTCAGCTTTTAGGGCCTGAAAACCAAATATAATCTTATGAAATCGGCTGCGTGGCTTCAAATTGCCTATTAAATATTTTCTGTACTTTTTAAGATCGAGGTATAAAATGTTGATTTTTTACGCAATAATATGAGAAAGTAAATTTGAACCTACTTAGGCTTTCGCCTTTAACGACCAATAACTTTGATACTTCCTGTTAAACGCAATAACCTTTTTATGATATGATATAAAACATTTTTATGATAGATTTCTTTCATATCACATTTCGTTTAAGCATCAAAGCTCAGAACGCATTTTGATTTGATCGATGAAGAATAAAAGTGATTTTTCAAAGTTCATTCATAAGCTTAAAAATACTCGCATTTTTATCTTCTATTCATAATTTCAGTATCAATTTCAAGTAACGGTACAAGAAAATTCGGAGAGTTTTGATTATTTATCCGATTTGTTTTCGTTTATTTGTCTACATCAAAGTGCTTATTTGAAGAACTACTTATCTACATGTGTATTTTTGGTTTCCATTTTAATTTCACAAGGAACAATAAGCAGCAAAAGTATATACAGTGTGGTACAAGAGTCTGGAATATCTCGCAATCCGCCCACCCGAGTTGTACGAAATTGCATGAACTTAAATATTGTTATCAAGTTTCTCGTTTTTTTGGAAATTCACACGAATTTATTTTTTATTTTTAAGTAACTACCTGAAATATAAGTACATGGTGTACGAGTATATCGTACATCTCATCGTCCCTATGAGCAACACGGATAGACTTATTTAGATTCTGTTCTTGAGTAAGTTATCTGATTTTATTCTGTTATTGAGTGTTAAATAATTTATATTATTAGAAATTATGTTTACCATGACAATGTTGCTGTTCTACAGTAAAGAGGCAAAACAAATGCCAATAAGTACCTACCTTGATAAGATTTAAGTAGTAATCAATTCCTTGCTGATTGATGTTATTGAGGGTGCCATTTGGTAAAATTCGGGTCCAGGCAATGGAGAATCTGGAAAAATAACTCTGTTTTGAAATACCCAAGAAATTCAGACTAGAGAAATTTAATTGTAGTAAAAACTGAATAAACTTAGGAGTCCTGATTTTAAACAATACCATGGACTAAAGGTCTAATATTATAAAGAACTATTATATTAATAAAAGTACAAACAAATCAAAGTCTCCTCCTGAATATGCATCAGTTGATGGTTTTTGAAATTACCTGTAAAAGTCCAGTCCTAAAGCCTTGGCATTGGCTACATCTTCTTCCCATTTGTGATAAGAATCGCATGCTATGTCTCCATTTTCTTGAGCGTCTATACATAAATTTATAATTAAACTGATTGCAATTTCATTAAATATAACTAATGCAACTGAACTGCTCAAAAAATAAATGTTACAGAGACAAGTTTGCCCTTGCTTGTGTTTTGCAAAAATGTAGTTATTCAAGAACAGGGTAGAAAATGAAACATTGAAAAATATCTGAAAATTCGGCAGGCTTCTAACTAAAAAAAAATCCGATTTCAAGATCAAAGGCCTTAACTCAAATGAGCTCAAAAAAATACTTTTTGTCCCATATTCCCCAAATATAAATAAACATGTTTATAGATTTCAACACCAAAGACATAAAGAAAGACCTCGAAACGGTTTTTTAATTTTTGAAGAATGAATTTTTCAACTATCTGTTGTATATACGCGGTGTTCAAAACATCCATTTGCTGTTTGCGGCGATACCATTTTTGCTCGTGGATCGATTTTCAAACTCTTTCGCTCATGTGAAAGTTAAAACATCATAGTCGACTTAAGGTAAAAATCTTATATACAGGGTTGCATTAAAAGTGACCCAAAGCCCGCGAAGTCTCGGATTCTGGCAGACCTTTAATTGAAATAAACTTTACAACGATTCGATTATTCATGCAACCCTGTACTTACATAAAATTTTTGACAATAATTAGTCTTTTTAAAATTCGCCTCATTCATCGGTTTGCAGGAACCTTAGAAAACTATGTTGAGCTTTGAATTTGGCCCAAAAACCAAATTTTATTCAGTTTTTTACCTTAAGTAATGAAGATTATCTTGAAAAAACGACCAAAGAGCTTACTATGAAAAATCGCCACCTTCATCGCTCTGACGATTTTTCAAGTTTCTTTAAAATTTCATGTCATTCCAGTTTTAGCAAATTTTCTATTAAGCAATTCTTTCTACGGCAAAAAAACGTATTATTTTTACTTTAACTTAAAATACTGACAATCTTCAGGTAATTTCTATGAAAATTATAAAATTAATTTTATTGGAACACTGGGCTCCTGAACAGCTTTGTAATTTGTTTCTGGAACGTCGGAACTTTTTGCAGATTCGAATTTTGGACTAAACCCAATAATTTTTCTTGGATTTTTTTCCAAACAAAACAAATGAAAGTTTATAATCAATTATTCGGACAACTCGTCACTTTTCTCGCTGTGAATAATTTGGCTAAACAAAACTCTCTCTAAGCAACGCGTTTTTTCCTAACGTTTTACTGTAGAATACTGGCAAACCGAGAGTTTTTCGAGAATCTTCAGAGAAGAGAGAGAACTATATTTGAGCGTTGATCTAAATAAAAGTAGCTTTTTAATTCTGACAATTATTCAAGATAACAATGCTAATGCTTAAAAGGTAAAACATTTTCTGCAGTTACCCAATCGTCAATATGGAAAAATCGTATTTTTCTCACAAATTAAAGATAATATATGTTTTCTTACTTTTGTCATGTAAAAATGTGTCCCAGATGCTTTCTCCTTTTCCATCTTCATTCCATGCTCCCTCAATTTGAAACGCCGAAGTTCCTGCTCCAATTAGAAAGTCTTGCGGAATTTGTTTGTCAGCTTGAGAGCTAAAACATTGAAGTACGATGAATAATTAGAGAATAGAGAAGAGCAGAAAAACTGCGGTAACAGAAATTTTAACCGTTAAAGACGTTTTTTTTTAGAAAAAGGTATGAAAATAAAAACAGCGATGACATTGTGAAATTACAGTTTCTTCAGAAACATTGTCAACTAAAAATGTTTTACTCATTTTACTCAGAAAACGAAAAAAAATCCTTAGAAGTCGATGTTGCGATTAACCTGTTGATTATGTTGACCAAAAAATATGTTGGTTTTCATTGAGGGTGATGATGGCCCGAAAAATAGTCCCACGCTCTTCATATTACGAATTCAATCTCTTTCTCCGACTAGAAAAAAGTTTCTATTTCAATTTTTCAAATTTTTGCACTATGAGTTCAGCCGAATGGCTGAACAATAAAATTGAACTAAGGCACATTTTTAATTACACCTTTCATATACCTACAGGGTTGCCCCCGAATATGTGGAAAATTTTCGAGATTCATGGAGAACATGTTAAAGATCCCACTCTTCTTTACGATGTGTGAGCATATTAAATGAAATGTTGTGCAAAACTTCTGTAAGTAAATATTTACAGTTTAAAAATTTAATTTTGAAGGCACTAAATCCTTAACAGGGATTGATACTCTATGCGGCACGCTCATTAATGAACATCAGTTTTAAAAATGGAGTATCAACTTACCTTGCAATTATAGAAATGACCAAAAGCAAAAGCTTTAACATGATAGTGAGTAAAAACGTAACAAAGTTTTAAGCAACGAATGGCACGGTTTTATTTATGAAAGCCAGTATTATAAGTATTTAAATTTTGCAGGTAAGCACTTAATATAAGTAGGCACTTATGATATCAGTGAGAATCGAGTATGGAAAAAATACAAGGCTTTCAATTCGTTTATGCTACTACTAGGTACATGCAGCACCGAATTGTATTAAATATTTATATTTAATTTTGCGTAACCTTCATCCTAAAATGAACGATTCTAGTTTTCACTCTAAACGTTTAGATCATAATAATATGCACAACATATGCACAGTGTCGACGATGACATGAAAGAGCGAATATTTAAACTCGATCCTGGTTGAATCAGGAAGAAATTAATACATTTTTGTGTGTCAAGTACAAAGCCAAATACTTTGATTAATTTAAAAACTATGTACCTATCACCAGGTTACCCAGGGATAATCATACGATTCTGCTTGAAGAATTCCAAGTGCTGGATAAGGAGAACCGTTTATATCCAAGGATTTTTAGAGAGGCAATTGTGATCTGAAACTCAAGGAAAATTTCCGTCGAAGAGAAGAGGGTTTGAGTTTAAGGCCCGTTTGCACCATTGAAAATAAGCTTGACTTTGCCATTAAGCTCAGCTTTAAAATTAAATTGGTTTGCACCACATTATAAATCAGGCTTACAGCATTCAAAGCTCGGCTTAAATTAAGCCGTCAACTTTGGTGGCTTATGGTGTTAAGCCGTTAATTCTAACCTTCGTTTTCCTTTGTCATACATGTGGCGATAGTTAACAAAATTGGAAATTACGATAACAAGCAAAAAACAAAAACAATGGATATCAAAACTTGTTTTGACATAATTGAAAACGATCTAGATATCTTTGAGATAATCGAATTTGGATTTCCTAAGACGATATATAACAGAAATAATCCATTGGAGGACTTGGAGGAACTACTAACTTTTAAAAAAATATTTGGGTTCTACAAAACCACAACAAATATAAATGAATTGAATTATTTAATTGATATTGGTCAATTGTAAAATGAAACCATAAATAATCTTCGAAATCACCGCAACACTATACTACAACAATTCATTAATTATTTAGAAAATTTGCGTTAAAATTTTAGTCAGCACAAAATAAAATTTCAGTACCTATATAAAATTCTTGATAAAAATTTAAAATACCTATATAAAATGTCAATATCAATATGAAATAAAAAATGGTAAAAAAACAGATGTATTTAAAATATGAAGTTGGGTTCGAAAGGTTCCTAAATTGTACAATTTAGGAACCTTGTCTTAAACGTCTTCTAAACTGAGGTTAATCCCTCGATCTATATTATCAATCGCCAAAGTTCTAATGTATAAATAGATATAATGAATACATGTATTCATTGTACCATGGCAGCAAACGGTCATAATTCCACATATGGCAAATAGATCTGCTTGACTCCGGTTTAACAAAGTAAACTTGGCTTTGATATAACGGTGCAAACGGCCCTAAGTAGAACATGGAAACCGACCCTCAAAGGTTTGTTACGATTTTCGAAACTTATCCGCTTTGTAGATTCTACAAGTTGCAACTGTTGCACATTTATTTTTAAAACTATACATCACATAGTGATAATTTCTATATTCGTCATAAGAAAAACATGTTCTTAAGAATCGACATTTCAATTTTGTGTGGAATTCACTCTAATTTTGATTAAATCTGATCAGTATAAATCTGTATGATTTTCAAAGTCTTTATAATCTAAACGCTCTATAAACATGATTTAAACATACAGTGCGCGACATTTGATTACTCTCACCTAATAATTTTGATTAATTTTTACTAATGCTAAAAATTTCCATTAGCAAGCTACATCAAGCACTAGATTAAAGATTTTAACAATATTTATTGAATAATTTGTTTTACAATTTCGTATTTTACATCTGATTTTTTTTTGTTGATTTTTGATGAGACACATGATTACTCTCATATTTAGAATTAACCTAGAACACAACATTTAAACCTAATAGTTATTTTAATATTTGGTATGCCTTCCCTGCTTCTCAATGACTGCTCACATTCGATGAGACAATGAATTTAATACATTTTCTATTAGATTGTCTGGAACTTAGTCGCAGGCGGCTCTAACAGCGGCGATTAATTATTTTCTGATAATAAACTGTCTTCCTTCAGTATAAACGCGTTTGACCAACCAACCCAATACGTTTTCTATGATATTTAAGTCTGGGGAAATAGCAGGCCAGTCCAGAACTGAAATATTATTAGAAGTCAACCAGGTTTGGATTATTTGAGCGGTATGAATTGGCGCATTGTCTTGTTGCAATATCCATTTTTGATCCGGAAACAAAGCTGTTATGTTAGCGATTTGCCGTTGCAGCAGCTCCAAATCCTTTTGAGCAGTTTGATGACCTTCTAGAAAATCGATGCCAACTCTGCCTTGGCTTGAAATTGCTGCCCAAATCACTACTGAACTTGCCCGACTGTGACGGCGAGCCAAGAATCTCTTCCATCCTTACGTCCTGAAAGTAATCTTGGAAGCCATCAAGACCATCCAGGTTAAACTTATTTTTATCGTTCTTTCCATAAAAACTACATTTTTCCACTTCTCTGTCCAGTTACGGTGAATGCGTGAAAACTCTAAACGTTCTTGTCGATGACGTGCAAGCAGCAAAGGCTTCTTGCGTGGTTTTCTTCTTTTTA